GGGGAGCAGATATCCTGACTGCCTTGCGCTCCTTCTCCTCCACCTTCTTGTCTGCGGGATCGAACACCTTCAATGCTGAAGGTCAGCCCACCATCTTGGAGGAAGAACATGTTGAATGGAGAAAGAAAAACCACGCCAGGATGAAGTTTTCGATCCTCCCGAAGGTAGCGATCTCTTCCATTCGCAGCTCTCATGTCTCCCGACCCGGGCCATCGCTTGCGGCCCCCGGGGCCCGAACGGAGCCTCCCGAGCCCGAGCACAAAAGCAAACGCCCGTCGCGTTCTGCTTCGCCACTCGACCCCCCGACCTCTCCTCGAGCGCGTTCATGCTACAACCTTTAGGGGGACCCAACCGTGGCGACGAGGATCCTCCAGGAGGCCGAAGAGCTCAATCCTGGAGGACGGATCCTCCTCCTCCTCCTCCTCCTCCTCCTCCTCCTCCTCCTCCTCCTCCTCCTCCCTCCTCCTCTTCCTCCTCCCTCCTCCCTCCTCCTCCTCCTCCTCCTCCTCCTCCTCCTCCTCCCCTCCTCTCCTCCTCCTCCTCCTCCTCCTCCTCCTGATTCTCCTCCTCCTCCTCCTCCTCCTTTCGTAAACTCACCTAGCCTACCTCTTCCTCCTCCTCCTCCTCCTCCTCCTCCTCCTCCAATCCCTGGCAGGTGGGAAGGGCCGATGCCTGGCGATTCTTCGCTGCTCGGCCTGCTCCTCCTCCTGCTGGGCCCTGGCCCTCCGCGCGGCTGCGGCCTGGGGAGGGGGGAAAGGCCCGCCGCTGTCGCCGCAGCCGTCGATCGATCGATCGATCGATCGAGGCTCGAGGAGGTTCGGCGGCGAGCCTGGGGGGGGGAAGTGGGACGGGGCGGCCCTCCTGAGAGGCTCGCCAGACCTTCCCCGGGGACGCAGAAGACTTCTCAGAAGGCCTCAGGGCTGGCTTCTGAGAGCCCCGCCGCCCTCTGAGTGTGCCTGCTCCGTCCCACTTCCCCCCCCCAAGCGCGCCGGCGAGAGGAGATCGCCTCAAAACACTTTCGGGACCTGGAAGGGCCCGTCTCGGGGGCCCGAGGCCGTCAAGGCTAGGTTCAGGATGGTGTTGTGTGTTCGTCTCTCCCCCCCCTGGCGCGGCTCTGGGAGAAGAGAAGGAAAAGCCGAGGGGAACGACCGCGCGAAGAGCGTGGTCTGGGACGCAAAACTGCCCAGGATGGACCACGAGAGGGGTCGGGGGACCGTCGTCGCCGCCGGCGTCGTCGGCGACGGCGTCGTCGGCGCCGGCCGATCCGGCGACTGCCGTTGAACGAGCTGGGCCTCCTGGAGGGCCCCCGTCGCCACGGGGGAGTTCGCCTCGAAGTTCCGGCCAAGGCGCGTTCCAGGAGAGGTCTGGTTCTCCTGCTCCCACCTCCCTCCCCCATCCTTGTCCCTGCTCCCTCCTCATCATCGCTGCCTCAATCCTATTATGAATTACCTCCTCCTTCCTCCTTCCTCCTTCGCTGTTACTGTTGTTAAGTCTACATTTCCTCCTCCTCCTCCTTCTTCTTCCTCCTCCTCCTCCTATCTCCTCCTCCTCCGCCTACGCCTCCTCTTCCTTTTCCTCCTCTCTGCTCCCTCCTCGTTCCGCCTTCCTCTTTTTACTCATTCCTCTTCTTCCTGTTCTTCCTTTTCCTCCTTCATCCCCACTCCTTCCTTGTTTTGCCTGGGCACCGCCTGGCACAAGCATGGGTCCGCCTGCGCACCTTTGTGCGGGCGGGTGGCGCAAACCTTGGGTGGGGCCCAGACCACCTTCGCCAACACCACACGCGCGGTCCTACCCCAGATACATCAACTCAATGTAGCCAGATCCCCCCACACACACACACACACACACACACCACACACACACACACACACACACACACACACACACACACACACACACACACACACACACACACACACACACACACACACACACACACACACACACACACACGCACGCACGCACGCACGCACGCACGCAAATTGTGCCTGTGCGTTTTTTCCCCTCCCGAGCGACTTGGGCCCGGACCAACTCTGCTCAGCAGCGGTGGCCCGCAGTGGGCCGCCAGAGAGGCCGACCGCGGGCCTCCTGCCGGGCCTCTACGGGAGGCCCCCGCCCGCCCTGCCCTGCACTCGCGCAGGCGCGCGAGCGAAGGCCATTCGCCTGGCCCCCCCTTCTCCTTCGCAGGACAAGCACGCGCTGCCCAGAAGCCTCGGCTGGAGAAGCACGCGCTGCCCAGACAAAAGCAGGAACAGCACGCGTGGCCCTTCTCTGTCGCAGGAGGAGAAGCACGCGCAAGCACGCCGGAAGAGCACGCGTTCGCCTGGCCCCCCTTCTCCTTCGCAGGACAAGCACGCGTTGCCCGGAAAGCTGGGGCCAGCGGCCGCTCGCTTCGACCTCCTCGCTGCGATGGCGCAGCAGCTCCGGCCCTCCGTCTGCAACTGCGGAGCAGCTGTCCGGGCGACGGCCTGCCGAGCCCGCAGCTTCGCGCGCGGCGCTCGACGGCCTCGAGCGACGGCTCGGGGGAAGAGGGGCTGAGCTCGCCGGGCCAGGCGACGGGGTCCTCGAGCGCGCCGGCGCGCCACCCGCCACTCCGCTCACAGTCGAGCAGCTCCATCTCGTGGCTCAGGTCAGCTGGCTGCATCCTGGCGGCGGACCCTTCGCCGCAACAGAGAGATCCGCGGCGTGCCGCGGCGCTGGCAGATCGGAAACTGCATGCGGCGCTGCGCCGCCAGTGAGACTGTGCCCCACGGCCTAGGCACCTCCCCCCTCTTCTAGGCCTCGGCGTTGCAGGCGGCGTGATCGGCGACCCCCATCGGGGGCGGCGGCGGCAGCCGCGGCCAACTCATGAGGCAAGGCGTGCGCGAAAGATAGAAGCGACAGCCATGGCTGCGCCAGACTGGGATCCGCCCCCGCCCTACTTCTCCCGGCCTGGACCTGGCGGGCAAGCCGAGGCGCCGAAGCTTTCGGTGGGACAGGCCGCCAGAGACCGGGGCCCGAAAGACACCTGCTCAGGACCTCCGACAAAGGGCGCGCGGGCGCGACCTGGGATAGGCGGCGCCCTTCGGTGAAACTGGCTTCATAAACGCGAGAGATGCTCCTACGGCGCGCTTGAAGCACTCGGGCGACCTCGGCGGGCGGGGCGTCGTAGGCGTCGGCGATTCCCCGCTCCGCAGCAGCGGCCCAGTGGCGCCGCCTGTCGTCGACCGCACCGTTCTGCGTGCCAATCTCCACGCCAAACCGTCTCCGTGCCTGATCATGGCGACGGCGCGCGCTCGAACTCCGCGCCCCCGAGAGTCGGCATGGCGAATCGGGCTGGGCTGCGACGCGCGGTGCCCCAGTCGGCGACCGCCTCGACCTTGGTTGAGCACTGCAGCCCAGAGGCGACGGCGAAGTGCACCCCTGCTTAGAGTCACGGGAAATTTAAGGTAAGAAAATAGAGTTCACCCCGAGCGTTCTTTTTATGTTAAAATCTACAATAGCCCAAATCGAACTGCACGGAAGCTCGACGAGCAAAGAAGCCCCAGGACAACGCCCAGAGTCAAGGCCTGATTCTTGATTGTCGTGAACGAAATCTGGGGTCGATGGGACTTGATGTTTTGTTAAGAAGATGTCTGTTGGGTGTAATCCAACGCTCTGTCGCCTGAAGACGAGCCGTCAGGACACGCGGCACGTGCTGGGGCGATGATGTCTGGCATCAAATGTTAGTCTTCGCGCGTGGTGACACGCGCCCGCGCCGCCTGACTAGCAGCGCCGACGGCCGACAGCCTCGATAACAACGCAGCTCCTAAGCGAAAGCTGCTCTCCGCGACGAAGATGAAACATTGACCCATGGGAAGCCCCGTGAGCGAGACCCGGGGCGTGTAAAATGACACGCCCATCCGCAATGACTGGCTGCATCAAACCGGCTGTGGCTATGTCTCGGACTAAAGGTCCCATTTGCAAAGTCCTGCCGCATTGCCTCCTCGTGCCGTCGGAACTGCAGGGGCCATCTTGGATCGCCACCAATGCTTGCGCAGCTTGGACTCCAACGGCGTGCAATTGGGCACTCACGTCATGATGCTCTGGCACCGCTACACCATGACAGTTGCTTAAACTATAATGCTGCAGTAATGCCTCCAGCCCAGATAAGACCAGCGACGTTGCATACAGGTGACCAGATTCCACCGTCTGTTAAACCTGCTGCTCAAGGTTGCCCTGTTCTGCATCCGCGAGGCAGAGGATTCATGTTTGCACGTCTCGAGGGCGTGATTGCGCTCGTCATTGAACACATCTGCCAGCCATTCGTGTTTGACTCCCTGCTTGGCCATGAGCCCGTCCATCTCTGGACTCTGATCGCTCTGCGCCGTGCTGAAGTATTCGAACAGCTCCTGATGTGCAGTTTGCGCGCTCTCTCTCTCTCTCTCTCTGTCACTCTTGCGCAGCCTGTGCTGTTGTGGAAGATTCCGCCGCCGTGAAATCCTCCCCCATGGGCTGCTCAGCTGGAGCGGAAGCAGACGCCGCAGCTGCCCCAGGGGCTGCGGCACCGCTTGCTGCTGCAGCACATTCACCAGTTGGGTCCCCATCTCAAGCATCCCCAAGCACAGAAACATACTAAGCAGAAACACCACCAGCAATAATAGGTGCCTTGGCGACAGGAAAGAAGGCACCGAGCACCTTGGCAACCTGGACCATTTTGTCGTTCTGCGCCTTGGTGAGCCAGTCGACGACGATGTGCTGCAACCGTTTATGCGAGCTGGCCATGGCTGCGAAGGCGCTGGCTGCTTTGGCAGAGGCCTCGTCGATCGCAGCACGGGCAGCCACGATATCCACCTTGCATGTAGCTGCGTGTGCCGCAGCCCTGGCCACAGACTCTCTAGCACGATCAAAAACTTGTTGTTCCTTCGGCAACTTGTCTGCTAAATGATATTGCTCGACGCGCGCTGCCTTGGCAGAAGCGCGCGGTTCCCATTGCAAGGGATCCCTCTGAGCCGATACAAGAGCAACGATATTTGCTAGCCAGTCGTGAGCTAGACTATCGACAAGTTTGAAAGCCGTCTTAGCATTTATCGAAACCGCTTCGTCACAGAGCTGCATGCTTTGCGTCGTCGTTTTGGGGGGCATTGAGCCACTGCCCGAAGGTACGCGATGCTGCGGCATCAGGCTGCCTCCCGCATGGCCGACAACATCGGAAACAACTCTTCTCCACCCGACATTGTACCGGTATCCGCACTTGTTGTGCCCGCACTTCCAGACCGACAAATCCCTTGCCATGGCCGAGACGTACTCGTGTGCAGAAGAGCGCTGGCCCCCCCGCAATACAGTGCGCGAAACAACGAGCGCGCTGACGAAAACAACTGGGGCCGCGCCTCCCCACGCCACTCCTCGAACCCCCCGGCCTCCCGCTGCGGATTTGAGCCAAAATGGCAACGGACCTCCTTTCTTCTTCTTCTTCTTCTTCTTCCTCCTCCTCCTCCTCCTCCTCCTCCTCCTCCTCCTCCTCCTCCTCCTCCTCTCCTCCTCCTCCTCCGGACGGGAACCCCGCTGGAGGCGGGCGCTGGTGCCCCAAACGCTATCATGTTGCAGGCGGCGGAGGCCGTCGGACCCTTCCGGGCGCCCCTGGCCCCCGTCGGAAGCCGCCGCCGCCAGGGGCGGAAGCGCGGCGCCACGCCCTCCCCTGAGGGGGAGGGCCCGCAGGAGGCGCAGGCGCCCGGGGATGGCCACGGGCCCGCTCCTCGGGCCGCCCCTGGCGGCGCGCACCAAGGGGGGCGGGGGGGGGGGAAGGCTTCCGAGAAGGAGGCTGCTTCTTAAATGCACAGCCCCATACATCTACTGTTCAGTCGGGCCTGTCCCCCATACAGTGGGATTTTTGACGAAGAATCAAGAATACCCAAAAAATATCCTAAACATAATCGAAAAATAATATGGAGATCATTTTTTTGGTTTTGTTTTAAACGCTGTTGGGGCTTGTCTCGGGTATTTTTCCCAACCCTCCTTGGTTGGGTATTCGTTTTGAATAGAGCAGTGTGGTCGCGTCCTTCCTCCTCCCGCCTCCCGCCTCTTTCCTGCCTCTTTCTGTCTTGCCTGCGGGGGGCTGCGATCTGTGAAACTGTCGCCACTTTCGAGGCCTGCTGGGGGGTCCTGCATAGAGGGTAATCGCGGCGGATTCAAATTAGACCTCGCCATCCCTGGGGGGCTGCGATCTGTGAAACTGTCGCCACTTTCGAGGCCTGCTGGGGGGTCCTGCATAGAGGGCAATCGCGGCGGATTCAAATTAGACCTCGCCATCCCTGGGGGGCTGCGATCTGTGAAACTGTCGCCACTTTCGAGGCCTGCTGGGGGGTCCTGCATAGAGGGCAATCGCGGCAGATTCAAATTAGACCTCGCCATCCCGGGGGACTGCGATCTGTGAAACTGTCGCCACTTTCGAGGCCTGCTGGGGGGTCCTGCATAGAGGGTAATCGCGGCGGATTCAAATTAGACCTCGCCATCCCGGGGGGCTGCGATCTGTGAAACTGTCGCCACTTTCGAGGCCTGCTGGGGGGCCCAGCACAGTGGGCCACGCGGCGGATTCAAATTAGACCTCGCCATCCCTGGGGGGCTGCGATCTGCGAAACTGTCGCCATTTTCGAGGCCTGCTGGGGGGCCCAGCACAGTGAGGGCCACGCGCGGATTCAAATTAGACCTCGCCATCCCTGGGGGGCTGCGATCTGCGAAACTGTCGCCATTTTCGAGGCCTGCTGGGGGGCCCAGCACAGTGAGGGCCACGGGCAGATTCAAATTAGACCTCGCCATCCCTGGGGGGCTGCGATCTGCGAAACTGTCGCCATTTTCGAGGCCTGCTGGGGGGCCCAGCACAGTGAGGTCCACGGGCAGATTCAAATTAGACCTCGCCGTCCCTGGGGGGCTGCGATCTGCGAAACTGTCGCCATTTTCGAGGCCTGCTGGGGGCCCCAGCACAGTGAGGGCCACGCGCTGATTCAAATTAGACCTCGCCATCCCTGGGGGGCTGCGATCTGCGAAACTGTCGCCATTTTCGAGGCCTGCTGGGGGGCCCAGCACAGTGAGGGCCACGGGCGGACCCAAATTAGACCTCGCCATCCCTGGGGGGCTGCGATCTGTGAAACTGTCGCCATTTTCGAGGCCTGCTGGGGGGCCCAGCACAGTGAGGGCCACGGCAGATTCAAATTAGACCTCGCCATCCCTGGGGGGCTGCGATCATCGCCAAGGCCTGCTGGGGGGCACTGCGATCTGCGAGACCTGTGGGGGGCTGCGATCTGCGAAACTGTCGCCACTTTCGAGGCCTGCTGGGGGGCCCAGCACAGTGAGGGCCACGGGCGGATTCAAATTAGACCTCGCCATCCCTGGGGGGCTGCGATCTGCGAAACTGTCGCCATTTTCGAGGCCTGCTGGGGGGCCCAGCACAGTGAGGGCCACGCGCGGATTCAAATTAGACCTCGCCATCCCTGGGGGGCTGCGATCTGCGAAACTGTCGCCATTTTCGAGGCCTGCTGGGGGGCC